AGTGCTCTTGTCTTCAGCGCCACTCACACACGGACTGCAATCACACGCGAAGAAGTACTGATCCATAAGTGCTGTCCGTCTGTCTTTAGTGGACATCCGTTTACAGTGAGGGCCATAACAGTTGACCACTTGGTGTCCTTTGGGTATACCTCTGGCGGCTCTTACTATAAGTAACTTCTTGTCGTAAATGGCGATAACATTTGGATCGCACGAGTGGTTCATAAGACTGACGGTCGGGTAGATAGCGGTCGCAATGCGTTTGTCTTCAAAACACAGATCCGATGAGTTCTCCACGTTTTCCATGGATGCGATTGAGTGACCATTCGTTATAAGTTGGAGGATATGTTTCAATACAATTCCGCCCAATATATCAACGCTTTGCGGCTCTTTGGGAACTAATGACAACTTCTGTGTCAACCGCACGAGAAGTGATGCCACCAATGAATAGCTAACACTGTCTTCTATGGGAAAGTCGTTCGAGTGGTCGACCAGAGCGTAGACTGACTCATAGGTATTGAGATAAGGAGTGGTGGCAGACAATTGAGAAGTGGATGACTGTTTGGCCACTTGGATGGCGTTCCCGACCCCACACACCAACACAGTTCTGAAGGCCAAGTGAGCGATTCCTATGTCGTGCAACACATCCAGAAACCCGCACTCGTATTGATGGCATTCCTGCCATCCCTCGGACCGACACTCATCGTTGCAATACATGACTTGAGTGCACTGATGGCAAGGCATCACTGGTGTGTCCACTAGTTTGCCGTAACAGTGATGACAATGACTTCTGTAATATTGCGGTAAAAGCACCGAAGCGTACGGTCTCTCCATAAACAGCACATCCGATATATTGATGTCATCTTTGGCCACAATATGCCGTCCTTTGGTCGAAGACACGCATAACTGCAGCGATTGGCTCGCGTTTGGCATCAACTCATTGGCCACAAACTTGAGATCAGTCTTAGGTATCGTATTATTGATACAATTCGACCGATTCTTCGCACCTTTCGACTCAATCGTGTCCATCAGTGCCTTCATCTGAGTCTCCGACTGCTTGTCCAGCGACTGATCGACGAACTGTTGGCTTCGGACGACATCTACGGCGTCACCGAAACACCCCTTTTGGACCAAACAATTCACTTTTCGGAGCAACAGTTTCGTGGCGTTCAGCGGATACTCGTATTTGAATGCATCGCAGATATCGGACAAACAGTTGTCGTATTGTCTTAAGTGATAGAAAACGGCGGACCTGTTGGCGAAACCAAGAGATAACTCGCTGTTGGCTTCGGCGGTGTGACTCGAGTCGGGTGTCGACGCCAACACTATTGCCTATCAATCGTAACAACAGATTATCACCAAATGGCTGAACGCGCGGATCAAATACCTGATTGTACGCATCGATGGCCTCTTGGAAGCGCTTCCCTCTGAAGAGGTCGTTGCCGTCGACGCGAAACTCTTTGGCTTTTTCCCAATACTTCTTGTGTTTGGCGGCGGAAGTGACGGTTAAGTACTGATCCAATTGCGTGGCCACCGATGGCTGAGACAAACAGTGGCGCACTTTGTCCTCATTGGTGGCGAGAGTGCG